CACGCGTGCGCGCGCGCGCACACACACACACACCTTTCTCAAGGAGAGCTAAATTTGTGAAGAATAGTAGATACTGTACAGTGACTTACCTTACCAAGGTAAAACACAGTCAAATTAAATTAAAGAAAAATTTCCCCTTTAAAAATTTTTACATTTTCTTGATGAAACACAGCTAGAAATTCAGGGGCAAAATGAAAATATGCATTTTGAAAAGATGTTAAAAGATGGTTAGACACATTCATTGTGCAGCAACATGCACACTAGCAGATAGGCGACCTCTGTCTCTTGTCAATACGCAATGCTTCGCTCAAGTTTATGTTACGCATGATTGGTAATTAGAAAACCGTAACATTGCCTTACGATTGGAAATGCCTGTCATTATCTTCACTGAACTAAATTGCTGATTGAATAAAAGTTCTCTTGCCTTAGAAGTGACTCAGTTATAGCAGTCTTAGCAACATCAGAAGATTATTTACACATAGAGTAAAAATTCCACATTTGACTAAAATTGGGCATAATGGTACAGAACATTACTTTTAACTTCATGTAGGAAAATAAACCAACGGCTAGCAATATTTCTACTTTTAACTTCACATAGAAAAAGAAACTCATGACTAGAAATATTTCTTAGTGGGAAATTGTCTTCATTCATTCATGAAAAAATATTAGTAGTAAAGTAATCACTTTAGATATGCAAATAGTGTTGCTAAAAATGGGGTTTCTCTGTTTGAAAACTTGTTTTATAATGTGATATGCATATTTCCATATTTCAATAAGTCAGATAAAAGGTTAATAGATTTAATATTATCACAAATTACCAGCCAGAGGTCTGTACTTTAGTTTCTACAAATTCTTTTGGATAAATAATAAGTGCTTTTCTTTTTCTATATCCTTGCTTTCCTAATGGGGTGGTAGTGGATGCGGAAACTGAAAAATTGTCTTCATTCATTCATGAAAAAATATTAGTAGTAAAGTAATCACTTTAGATATGCAAATAGTGTTGCTAAAAATAGGGTTTCTCTGTTTGAAAACTTGTTATATAATTTGATATGCATATTTCCATATTTCAATAAGTCATATAAAAGGTTAATAGATTTAATATTATCACAAATTACTAGCCAGAGGTCGGTACTTTAGCTTCTACAAAATCTTTTGGATAAATAATAAGTGCTTTTCTTTTCTATATCCTTGCTTTCCTAATGGGGTGGTAGTGGATGCGGAAACTGAAAACCAAGGGAGCCAGCTTCCATGAAGTCCCCAGGGTGGTTAGTTGGCAGTGGAGTTGAATGTGAAGACCAGGCCCCATCCAGAAGACCCGGACCTAGACCTGGTTGGTTCTGAGCGAGCTTTGAACATTAACCTTGTCATCAGCACCCACCCTGGCAGCTTGCAGAGTCACAGGAGTGCAACGCAGCCTCCAGCTGAGTTAGCAACCATTTCTCAGCGTCCGGGCTGCCTATATATTGTGTTAGAGAAGAAAAATGCTTGACCTACTTGGATCCGATAAGATGGAGTCAGTTTTCGGCAGAAATTGATCACAACGGACTCCTTGATAGCCTTCTTTGCACCTGAGAAAAGGGGATACATAATAAACATATGCATGTGGCTGTGAAAGTTTCAAAATTTCAACAAGCAAAATAGCCACTAATTACATAAAATAGATAAATGTGAGAATAGAACATTCATGCTTTTGTATAATTTGATTTAGTATGTCTGTAACATCAACAGGCAGATTTTAGTCTATTTCTGTGCAAAAAAACAAAAATTCCCAGCACTTCTTTGCTTTCATAATTTTATATATAATACCTACTGAACAAATTGAACACTTTTGAAGATGACCCTTATAGCAATCTCAGCAGTGGTAGCCCTCATGTCAGAGTTCTGGACGCAGGCATGCTTTTCTCTATGCAACACACTGTCTCTAAGAGGCTGCGGTGCCCTTTCAGAAGCATCGCTTTCCAAGTGTCATTTTTCTAATAAAAAACATTTTCTCATGTAATTTATCGATATTATCAATATATTTTGGTGACTGTTTATTTTTCTTGTGTTTTATTAGTTAGTTCCTTTGCAAATTTTAAACTTTTTTTTTTTTTTTAAGTTAGCTATGCTTCAAGTCCCTGTGGCCTGATTGGCCAGCGTAACATCTTTCACATCTGCCAAGATCTCTATGTGCAAGGTCTCTGTGAAGTTTCTGTAAATGCCCATTTTTCTCTCCTCATTTTCTCTTTTGAGTTCAGCAAACATGTGCAAAGTGCCTGCTTTCTGCCAGGCGTTGCACAAGACACCTTTCCTGAGGTGGGCGGGATTTGGAGGGGAGGAATTTGCCTGCAAGCATCAGCAATGAGCATCACTCTGCCCTGCTGGTCCTCAGTGAGACTTCACAACACTCCCTCCAGCAGGGCTGCTGGCTGCCTTGGACAGCTTCAGCTCATCAGCATCAGCTCATCAGCAGCAGGTCAAGGAACAAGTACAGTCCAGGTGGTCCCCAAACCCCTGCTTTGGAACAGTATCCATAGGGGGATGTGGCCTTTAGTGATGGACTTGAAACTTAACCTGCCATGCCCCAGGTAAGCAGGGAGTCACCCATTGTTGCTGATGAATAAATGTCTCCTATGGACAGAGGAGGAAATTGTGCTGCGGGCATAAAAATCAGACTTACCAAAACAATCCTCTGCTTGTTAGAAATCTATTTAATTGACAAAAGAATGGAAAGGGACCGACCATTCTGTCTCAGCTGGGACTGTGAATTCTTTCTCTAGAATATGCTTTGTTTTCAGTGTAATAAACTATTAGATGAAATCTATTGCAACTGCAGCAGCAAAATTGAAAGGCACCTGGTCATTTTTCTACCTCTCACAGTGGGTCACATCAGAATTCAGGTGGTGGGCCGGCTCTCTTTAGCACCTTTTTAAGCCTGGTGCCCAGAGTGTAGTTGGCTGTTTTCCTTGTACACTGAGAACAAAGACTTCTGATATGAGAACACCCTTGATACTCAATAGGCTATTGAAAAAAGTTGCTTAAGCAGCCACATATTTTCATAACCTTTTTAAAAATTCATTCATTGCCCTTGAAATAAAGCAGGCGTGTCACTGGGTTTACAATGGTAAAAAGTCAGAAAATACTTAGGACTGGAGCAATTTCTGATGAAAAAATAAATAAATTTCTGTCCTCTGGAAGCTGGCCTATTGTTGTTAGTTCATCTTTATTCAGAAGTACTGGGACCATGGTGTTTTAATTTTCATTTTCCCATGAGTTACGTTTGGGTGTGTGCTACAGCATGCATTAACTTTTTGAAGGATTTTATTTCCAACAAATGAGGAAGATGTTCAGCACTTTAGTCGTTATAAATTCATTTAATGTGAAACCATATCCTAGAGAGATAGGTGCTTTCAGAGGAAGTGTTTTGTGTGTGTGTGTTTTGCTTTGCTTTTTAAGGCTTCTTTGTAACTTATGAGACATTATTCTATTTGTGTGAAAAAGGAAATAAGGACAGATATTTGAAATTGTTCAAGTCTTAAACAAATTTTCCATGAGTTTGATCCCTCTCTGAAGTGTTCAGGCCTTGGGGGTATCAGGACGACTGCACAGTGAGCGCCCCCATCCTGCCTCATGCCCCTGAGCTGTAGGTGATAGAGAGTGATGTGTGATGGTGTCAGAGCAGCCCGACCCAAGCTGGGAGACCCACTAGGCTGAGCGCCCAGACGTGCCAGCCCTGAACCTTTGTTACGGAGGCAGTTTCCCTGCTAATCGGTGCTGGGTTTCAGAAATTTCATTTTTAAAATTTCCATGTAATAATCACCCATAGCCTGGCCAGTGTGGCTCAGTGGTTGAGCATCAACCTATGAACCAGGAGGTCACGTTTGATTCCTTGTCAGGGAACATGCCCGGGGTTGCAGGCTCGATCTCCAGTAGGGGGCGTGCAGGAGGCAGCCGATCGATGACTCTCTCATCCTTTATGTTTCTATTTCTCTCTCCCTCTCCCTTCCTCTCTCTGAAATCAATAAAAAAAACCCCAACATTTAATATATATATAATTAAAAATCACACATATGTCAACTTGATAAGTTCAGCCCATCCAAATACAAAGACAGAATGTGGCAAGCAGGTAATGCCAATGAAGTGGACTAAATTCATGACAATATTAAAGATGTAAAGCAAAGGAAAAAAGTCTTAAGATGCACTTCTACTTCATAGACTGAGTTTGGCGGAACTTCTGACAGTGTGATAAGCAGCACATCCTTTGAGAAATATCATTGCAAGTTGGTTTTGGTTTTGGTAGATGTTTTGGGAAGTTTGAGAATACTTTTTTAAAAGAGTTTTGTTTTTTTAAAGATACAGGTATAAGAACAAGATAAATCCAGATAGTAAAAAAAAATGGTTTTTGTTTGTTCATCTTAATAAAGCATGACCTAATTTAATAAAATTATAAAGCATATGTTCAATCTTTAATGATCAATACATGTTTTGTTAATAAAAGCACAGATTTGATCTTAACCAGGTTAATATTCTATTATTTTTTTTACTCTGCATTGCTTTAAAACTGCCCTTAATTGCTCCCCATTCTCCGAATTTCTTTATCCCTGAGAAGCCTTGCACACAGATATTTTATTCAAAATTGCAGTGTTCCCTATGGTTTTTTATGGGTAAGCTTACATTCTATAACTAAATGGCCAAAGAGCAGAGAACAAGCTTAAGATAGGAAATATTATTGGCAGTGAAACAACTACTAAGCAAACACAGTCTGCAAGAGCTAAGAGCTTTTACTTTGCAAAAAATATCACTCTTAAATTCTCTGTTTATCAACTCTGAGATGAAGGAGTTGTCACTTTGGAAAATAGTTAAGTCCTTGGTAATGTTGCTTGTTTAGTTTATTTCTAAACTTAAAAGACAGTGGAGAAGAGCATAGTTGGGGAGACAATGTCCAAATCAGGGTAGGACAAGTGAGGGGGTGAAGAGGGAACTCTGGTGGAGGAACCCTGAACATGAGAGATTGGGTGCTGCAATGAAGTCAGGGGAAGAGCCGGAGACTCTGAGCTCCACATAAGTATCAGCAAAGTACCCTCTCTGGCTGGTGAGCCACAGGGTCAAATAAAAAACCAGTATTCTCCCTTTCTACAGGGGTAAGCTGTGTAGTTTCAAATACAGACACCACTTTTTCTACTCCTTACAACCTTCTAACTTGGTCCTCAGTCCTGTCCTACTTGTTCAGCTGAACCTAAAATAGCAAGCCACCCCTTTAATTCCTTTTTCCTCCTCTATATTGTCTCTAAGGAAAAGCTTAGCTTTAGTGAAAGGTTTTAAAGGGCAACCCTTGGGCCACAGTGAAGAAGAGAATAATACTGACAAAGATGGGAAAATACAAAATGCATAGTTGTTGGTTGTAACTCAGTACTTGTTCTGTCAGTGTGGGAAAGCAGAAGCGGTCACCAGGTCACCAGCCTGGATGTGGAGGATGCCAGGAGAAGACTTTGAAACAGCGAGATCATTTGCTGCTGTTTCCATAGAAACCCACATCCCTTGGCCAGCTAGCGGTGATGACCATGGCCATCAGCCCACAAGATAACTTCACACCATTCCCGTCTCTTCTTTTACAATATGTATCTGTTGGATTATGTCTTGGAACCCATTTTCTGAATAACAACTAAATTAGAGCTAATAATATTAGTGATTTGGCTGAAAATTGAAGAACTCTCACTTGTAACCAACAGCCTCCCTACCTGTCCAGATTATTACTCAATTTATGCCTCTTCCTTCTATTAGGAAAACCAAACCGAATCAAACCAAACCAAAACCACATGAACACTGTTCCACTGAGGAAACTGTACTATCCTCTTAGTCCTCACCTATTGCTTTCCTGGTCACTTACTCACTAAAGGGAACCACTGAGGAAACTGTACTATCCTCTTAGTCCTCACCTGGTCACTTACTCACTAAAGGGAGGCACTATCATTGCTTCACTTCCTCTTCTCCATTCCTTCTCTGTCTTCATTGTCAGGGTCTTGATTATCCACGTGGATGGCCCAGCCAACACCTGGTCTCTTAGCACGACTTCCTCATCTATATCATGGGTAACAGTGCTGAGTTCATAGTCTTGCTTCTGTGCTTAGTATTTGCATGGTGTACTTTAGGCAACTCACTTAATACCCCTATTTCCCAGTATCAACCAAATAAAACGAAAATGATACCAGGAAGGAGAAAAATGAGCAATCACACATGCATTTTGGCCATTTTTATACCTAGAGGTCTTCATATCTGCAAAGATGCATTTTACATAATTTACAGGGAGGAGTGTATGAAGGACAGAAAAATTGACAAATGTTTGCTTTGATCCCTGTGTAGTGCCTGCTCTCTGCTTATACTTTGGAGAAAGTATACATGTTTCCTTCTTGGAAAGTGGATTTTAGACACAAAATTTAAACTAGCAGAAATCAATTAAGTTCAGAAGAGAGATAGTGGCAATGTTACAGGGAAGTAGACATGTAGACATTTTGTCAGTGATATACACGTCTGCCAATTTTAAGGGGCCTATTAAATGCTGATTTGAAAAACGAACCATCCCTCCAGGTAT